TCTAACACACCTGATAGCTGAATCAATCTAACCTTAATGTTCAGGTGGATCAAGAGGTGCTGACCTGTCAACTCAGATTGCTGACCTATCAGAACTAATACTGAATAAATATTGCCCCATAGCTATTCTTAAAGCCTCTCTACAACCAGGCATTTAAAGAAAAATCCCACCAAATCATCTAGAAACTTTTGTGGATGGTGAAATCTCTAACTTACATGAAGAATTATTATCATGGCAAGTCTAGGTGGTAGACAAACTTGTTATTTACTGTGGTTTTCAGGTTACATGTACCTCGTATTAGTAAACATCCCATTCATACATGGTTATGAAAAAGCTTAGCAAGTTGGAGCTCTGCATGGCTCCAGCTGAGCAGTCATTTAAACCACACCTACATAGCCCAAGGGCACATCATACACAGAAAATTCAGGTATGATCACTTTTTTTTTTTAAATCTTCACCTGAGGATATTTTTTCCATTGCTTTTCAGAGAGAGTGGGAGAGAGATAGAAAGAGGAACACCGATGTGAGAGAGACACACTGACTGGCTGCCTCCCGGCTGGGGCTGGGGCTGGAGCCTGCAACCGAGGTACGTGCCCTTGGCCAAAATCAAACCCAGGACCCTTCAGTCTGCAGGCCGAGGCTCTAGCCACTAAGCCAAACCGGCTGGGGCCAGGTAAGATCACTTTAAATTTCAACAAGTTTGGGGACATTTTACAGGATGAAAAACAACTTGCTCAACTAGTCCAAAAGCACTGTCGTCCATAAGAAGTAGGAATCAGTAGAAATGCCAAATTCAACATCCTCTCTTTTACATATGCAATCAAAAGGAACATAGTATAAGAACTAGTAAGCTAGGAAGTGAACAAGATAAGTCAAGCTCTTACTCTGAACTCCCTTCAGATGCCACTATTAACTTGATCCACCATCTTATCACCTCTCTATACTGTATATAACCTTACTGTCCTATGAGTTTCTGTAACTGTGCCTCTTCTGTAACACCTGTCAGCTCCTACCTTTTTAACAGCTGTATATAAACAAGGCTTCTCCAGTCTACTAGGCTCTAGTTTCTGTTAGGTCATTTTAGCATCTTCCTAAAACCCCGTACAGTAGGCCTTTCAACCTGTGTTACAGCTCAGTGACTGAACATGAAGCATCTCCTGGGATAGCTGTGCCTTTCAAAAGACACCTGATGTTCTTCATAGAACAATTACTAAAAAATTATTCACATTGATACTCACAGGCATATCAATTCCACTTTAGAAGTAGGAAACCTACAACAAAAACTTATTACAAAAAAGGTTTTAAAGTTATTTCTTATTATTACATGTTCACTGTAGAAAAACTAGAATATACAGATTTGAAAATTGAAGATACAACCTTATACCCTCCCCAAATCCCTATATTTTAAATTATATCCTTCTGCTCTTTCTATACCTATATATGTAGATATAGATAACTATACGTTTTAAAAGACATTTTAAATGGGATAATGGACATATATGCTGTTTTGTAGCATTTCCCCACTTAATGTACAGTACGAATCTTTCGTAGGCCACCAACCATTGTTTTACAAGCTAATTTTTTGACTGCATAGTATTCCAAAACGTAGGTTTACCACAATTTACTTAATCTCTTTTGTTCTTAAATTTTCATTCTTTTAAATAATGTTACAGAAAAAAGGAATAGGCCCTGGCTGAGTAGTTCAGTTAGTTAGAGCATTGTCCCGATACACCAACGTTGCAGGTTTAATCCTGGTCAGGGCATGTACAAGAATCAACCAATAAATGAATGAGTGGAACAACATATCGATGTTTCTCAACCTCTCCTCTCGCTAAAAAAAAATGTAAAAAGGAATAAAAGATAAAAAAGGTTGCTGAGTAGTCCCCCATATTTCTCATGAATAGCAGTGCTCTGGGACTAGTTGTACATTTCTGGGTATCTTCACCTGTCCTGGGATCACCATTTTTTAAACGGCTTGCACAGCAGTTTGAAATCAGTACCAGAACCTCCTCAAACTCCATTCTTTTGTCCCTCTAGTTTTCTGTGACCCAATCTTTACCTACCCTCTCTGTCTACTGCCTTCCCAGACTGCCTTTTGTTTGTGCTTTTCCACTGCTCAAGTCTTATGATGGCTCTGCTATAACACTGAAATTTGCCTAGCTAGTATTTTATCCCCTTGGACTCTTAGAGCGAAAGTATCAACCAACTAATCTTGATAAACTAATCCATGCTAATATGAGGGGCTCATTCTCAGCAACATATATGTGCAACATAACTTAAGCAGTTTAAGGAAAATATATTATCTACATCTACAATGCATTTTATTTATCTTAAAGCACAGTGCTTCTCAAATTTTGCTGTACACTGAAATCACCTGGGGAGCTTTTAAAAACACTGATGCCTGGGTCTTACCTCCCAGGAATTCTAAATAAAGTTGGTATAGGGTGTGACTTGGGCATCAGAATTTTTTAAAGCTCCCTAGATGATTCTAATGTAGCATCTGTGTTTGAGATGATATATCACGTAGTTTCTTCTTAGATAATATTGGAGGACTCCAAGGAAGAAAAGTAGAATAAGTGAAATTCTTCTGCACAAACAAAGGAGATAAGAGAGGTTGGAAGGGTGAAGCATTTGCAAACAACAATAGAATAAAATTAGCATTCATGCTTCCTGATGCAAGGCACGAGTCTGCTGTGTTCGGAAGTAGACCAAGCTTCACTTCTGAAGTAGCTTCAGTTGCTTTTATATAGAACCAGTAATCTCTAAAATTATTTGGGTAACAAACTTTATGCCATGAAATTTAGCGGTAGCTCTCCAGGTTTCGACTGCTTCCAATTTACATTTATTTCACTGTTTCAACAGCTGGGCAATCCCACGGATTGGGAAACCTCCACAATCCCTAGCGGACCTGTGGGGCAACTCTTAAAAGAATAACTGCAAGTCCCAGGCATTTAAGTACATTACTAAACCTCACAGCAACCCTATTTTACAGGGAAAACTCAGGATCACAGTGGGTTAGGAAATTGCCTGGCCTCGCAATCAGTAAGTGGCCTGACTGGGATGTGATTAGGCAAGGCATGGCTCTAACAGTCATGCTCTTATCCAATTACAATGTGTCGAGCCACATTGTCTTTTCCCCAGGACAATTTGAAGCAACATTGGTAAATTGCTTTACTGGGCAGAAGAGGTTTCCAGGTGGTCCGAGTGATTTTTCTGATATTTCACAATTCCAAAGACAAGTCATGAGAGTCACTTCTGTGCAAAGCCACTCCCAAGCTACGGTGCTAGGTGAGGATCCTTTGCGGCCTCATCTATCTCTGTGACCTGGCAGTCCACGTTATCATTCCCAAACACCAGCTGGGGGCACATTCTGTAAAGGGTTGGAAGGCCTTGCCTTTAATGGGTTGGCGGCCTAGTTGGGGAAAAAAGGCTTTTCTTCCAACCTGGCTTTTCCCAGATTACTTATGATGGGGAACACTTTGGTGACCTGAAAACTAAAAATAATCTCTGTGGCAAGCACAGAAGTTTTTTTTTCTTTTTTCCTCTGTTTTTCTAATTCTTATTAGTCGCTATTCTTTTTATGTACTACCTACAATTTACAAAAGGCTATTTAACCCACCCCAGGTATCTACCATTATACCCTAGAATCCTTGAAGGATGTTACTCCCAAATTATCTAATTTCTGAAGGAAAAGAGGGATTGCAGGGCTTCCTACATGAGGACTGCCTTCCATGAAATCAACGCTAGAAGGGGGTGGTCATCCTTTTACCATGTTAATATTCCAGGGAGCAGGAGGAAAGGAAAAAGATCAGTAGCTTCACAGACACTTCCTAGGACACAACAGGGGACTTGGGATAGGACGAAGCTTCAGAGACTACAGAATCCCACACACAGCGAGGATGGACAGGGAAAACGAACATCAACCCTCAGGAAAGGTCGTGATTTCCCCCCTCCCTTTCTCTAGTCATTCTTAGAAAAGAAAAAAAAAGAGTTTACAAAAATAACCTGAGAGTAAAGCCTACGGTTGGGGGAAAAGAGGAAACTTGATTTTGGAGGAAGGTTAGGAGTTTAGAAGAGCAAGCAGCTCGGAAATACTGTTCAGTCATAGGGCTCAGCCTTGGCTGTAGATTGCAGTTTAGTGTTTCTGACACTAAAAATAAGGCCTCTTACCATAGAAAAAAGCAGAGACAGTAATATTTTCCTGTTTGGGGGGGGGGAAGAAACACACACCCATGGTACAGTAGAGAGAACTGTTACCCTGCCGGGTAAGCCAGGGGATCCTGGCTCAGGCAGAGGTTACTCCTCCACAGCCAAGGACATCAAATAAAGCTGCAAGGCGGGCAGAGAACAGATGCACCCGGCGAACGGGCTCCCGCCAGCCCGGCTGCCCTTCTCCCTCGGGCTACGCTGGTAAACGCGCTCGCGAGCCGGGGATCTGAGCGGCCCCTGAAGCGCTCGCAGGAGCCCCGACGGGCCCGCGGGGAGGGTCGGCTCCGCGGTCGGGACGCGGGGACACCGCTGCGCCCGCTCCTGCCTTCGAGGCGGCTGCACGGGTCGGAAGGCGACCCGGCTCTCCCGGGGCTGTCCCAAAAAACATGTAGCTCGCTGTCTGCCGGCCCCGGTCGGAGAACGAAAACGGGGAGAGGCGGCTTATAAAATGCTGAGAGATCGGTGTGTGTTTTTCTGACTTTGCAAACCAAGAAAGAGGGGGCTGTTTAGGTCGGACGAAGGGTTGCACGGTTGTCAAATTCTAATCAAAAACTTCGCCTTTTGCGTCGCCAAGGCGGCCGAGGGGACAGAGCTAGGCGGCTGCCAGCCAGGCGGCGAATGCGACACCCCGAAGACGCCGCACGGAGCCACCTTAAAAAGCAATCGCTCCGTTCCCCGCGTTAGAAAAACAAGCGTCCTCGGGGGACGTGGTCCGGTAATTTTGCTCCCCCCCCCCTTCGAACAGGGCTTAAGAGGAGGGAGAGAAAAGCCAGCGCTGGGCTGCGGCTCACCGCTTGCTGCGCGCCCCGGAAAGTCGCGTCCAGCAGCATCAGCTTCCAGGGGTCGGACACGGAGCTGGGCAGCGGGATGTAGACATAATAGGCGGCCAGCGCCACCAGGGCGGTGAGCACCACGCACGACGACCTCATCCTGCCCCCGGCCGACCAGTCTGCGGCTTGACCCGGACAAGAGGGCGATCGCCGCCCCGAGCCCCCCAGCAAGTGGATGCGAAGGCCGGCGGCTCATTCCCTGGCTTCTTATATCCCCGGGAGCCAATCAGAGGCGGCGTCGGGAGGAAGTGCGAGCGCGGACGTGCGCCCCCCCGGCGGTGTCCTTGCGGAGCGCTGCACAAGCTGCGGGCTGGAGGGAGCGCCCAGGCGGCTCCGGAGCGCGCAGCGGCCTCTGCAGGACGCGGGCCTGCATTGCACGCCTGCGACCGAGGGCTCCCCGCGGACCGTCCGCAAATGGAAAGCTGCAATCGTTTGTTTGTGCAAAGCACGCGGGCCTGTCTGACTCAGACTGGGCATACGGAGAAAGGTAAAAATCCACTGTCTGGCAATGCAATGAAATTCTAGCTGACATATGGTGAAGGAAGATAATTACAAATTCTTGCAGTTCAAGCAATGACAAGCCAGTGACTATATCTAGCACCTAAGTCTTGGTTTCTAAATCCCAGTCTCCAATAAATGGAACTATGGCTCTGCCACAGCTACTTGGGGGGGAAAAGGCTGACTCCAGGACTGGGGCAGATAAAGTACAAGATTAGTCCTTTGTGCTAGAAGATAGAGAAGTGTTTAAAAAATGAAGGGGACTGGTCAAAAGGACTCAGGTAGCAGCTTTAAGGATCTCCCAAAGGTTAAAGCTGGGATAATTTTAGCATCAAAATGAATAATAATAGTGGATTATAAACCACTGAGTGAAAAGAAATATCCATGAGTCTATACTAATAAAAATGAAGGAAATGCCACCTGAAAGAACTCTTTCAGTAGGTCAATAGAAACCAAAACAGCACTTGAATCCAGACTTTCTGTTAAAGATAGGGGATGGGAGGTGAGTACAGAAACGGAAAGGGAACTTCTCTAGCAGAACTACAACCTGAGATCTAAAAGGAAAACATTTGGGAGAACTGTTTCCAGGAGATGGCAAGAGAAGAACTCCAAACTTATTGATTGAGGCCTTAAAACACCTGGTACATGTAATTTTGCACCTTGAAATAATAATCTAAACGGAATCTGGTCCAAAGAAGTGAAGTAATCATAAATTGGGAACTGATAATGAGATGATTAGGTGGAGGTGTGTTAAAGTTAAAGGAAAACTTGTATATAAGGGGCACACTTTAATGGTATTTCAAGCATTCAAGTTTGAGATCATTGTTTTACATCTTTTTTTGTAGTTGCTAGTAACGCATATAACTCTAAACAAACAGAGATGCGTAAGTTTGTGGACAAATACATGTGCATAAAGTTAGAAGCTAATCTTTATGGGTGATGAGACCTAGTCCCAGAGATAAAAATCAAGCTCACTAACATAACTTACTTTGAGGAAATCTGTAAAAATAATTCCAAGTTTTACTGTGCTGCTAAGCAATTGGGACTGTGAAGAAAATAGAACAGGGTGGTGTGACACCCTGTGGCTGGTTGCTGCTTTAAACTGCGTGATGAGGGGAACTTTTTGAGGAGATGACATCTGAACTGAGGTCTGAACGACTAAGGAGACAGCCTTGCTGGGATCTAGAGGTCAAAAGAACAAGAGCAGAGGCTCTAAATTGCTAAGGAGGTCAAGGAACAGAAAGGGCGCTAGTGAGGCAGGAGTAGTGTGCAAGGGGTGTTGGTACGAGCACAGTGAGAGAGTCAGAGGTAGTACGGGCGTCAGAGGGCAGATCACTTAGGACCAAGTAGGCCATGTTAAGGAGTCTGAACATGCTCGTGCAGTGAGAAGCAATTGGAGGCTTTACAGGTAGAAACAGGATCTGATCTGTATTTGAAAAGAAGCACTCCAGCTGCTGTGTGAGAACAGGAGGCCTGTCAGACTTCTGCAGTAATTCAGATGAGAAATGATGGTGGCCTGGAGTGGAATAGAGAAAAGGGGCATATTTAGGATCTATTTTAGAGCTAGTGGAGATAGGATATACTCATAAATTGTAAAGGGTGATAAAAAGAAAAGTCAATAAAATGCTTTGCTTCGAAGGAAATAAGATGGAATTTGAGTCAAGCAATTAACATTTCCATTTATATAGAATTAAATTAGTTTTTATTAAAATCTCCTAGTTATACGATATAGCAATATCATTGCTTAACAAAATCTTTATTTTATTACTTGAAATAATTTAGTCAAAATGTCATCCAAAGACGAGCAGAACTTGCCTGGCAGGTGTGTCTCGGTTGGTTGTGTGTCGTCTCATGCACCAAGAGGTCACTTGTTCAACTTCCAGTCAGGGCACATGCTGGGGCTGCAGGCTCGCTCCCCAGTAGGGGGCATTGATGTTTCTCTCTCATCGCTGTTTCTATCTCTCCCTGTCCCTTCCTCTCTCTCTAAAATCAAGCAGCCTATCTTAACAGAAAAGTTGTCTGGGAGTCTATCATCAGCTATATGACCTTGGCGAAGTTATTAATCATTCTTGACGCTTAGATTCTTCATCTGTAAAGTAGTTTGGATCCAGTGTCCCTAAGAGTCCTTCCAGCTCCAAGAGCTACCAGTTACATGAGAATGCAAATACAGGCTAACCATATTTAAACAGGCACTTTTAATAAAGCTCTAAAAATGTACAAGAGCTCACATGAAAAAGTAATTTATGTTGGGGAAAACAAAGAATGATTAAAATATAGTATTAGCTTAATAGGTGACCGTATTCAAATCACAGAAATGCGTATTTGGCAAGAAATTCTATCCTCGGGAAGAAACGTGGAGCGTGATTAGACTATTCTAGACTCATTGGACTTAAGTTACTTTTCCTTTCCTTAGGCACAATGAATCTTTCAGCTTTTGCAATACTCACAACTAACTCATTAGAAATTGCTTTATAAATAGAGCCTTAATGAATAGAATTACAAGATCGATTCTATAATCGGTGGTGGAGACCTCAGCATCCAGAACATAAAGTTGTATTCTTTGTGCTGTTACGAATGAAGTAAGAAGAGCCATCACAAGCTAGTCTGAAAAACGTGTATATTGAGTTTTTTATTGTACCCAATGGCTTATGTTGATCAAATGAAGGTGTCACTGACTGTAGAAATCCTTTCATCATCTACGTCACAATGACCGCATCTCACTAGAGGTTTTCCCCTTATGTTTCACGCTGACTTTTTCACTTTTGTTGTGAAATATCGTCCTTTGCCAGCCTTTCCAAGTTCATGTGTTCTGTCCTTGTCAAAGCCTAAACAGCTGATGGGAACCAAACCAACGCTCTAATCAGAGTTTGTCCTGGGGACTCTTTGGCAGGCCAAGGACACATTTCCTACACATTCCGCGCTGAGCAAGGTGCCTCCTGACTTCTTAGGCTCACCTTCCATTTTAGCCAGGTCACAGGTGACCAGAGCTGCCAGAATTTGTAGCAAGATGAAGAAACTCAATGTTAAAGATGTGTTGTTGTCAAAAATTGAGTGATTTACTGTCATTTTGCTTTTCTCTTACTAAACTTCATCCTACTTTGTTGATTGCTTTTTGAAAGATCTTGAAGTGATTTAAAATTCTTACTGCACCTGCTAAGAAGAAAGAGGTTTGTCTGTTTTACTCACTGCTGTATCCCTAGTGAGCCTGGCACATGGTAGGTGCTTAACAAGCATTTTAATGAATGACTATGATGAAGCATTGGTAAATTCACTCAATACTTTTTCAAATTTAATGAAAATGTCACTTATGCAAATTATTGGTAAGTATATTTGGAGAAATGATAGATTCAGAGAAAAAGATAAGGGAAAAATGAGGCAGAATAGGGGGAAAAAACAGGAGATAAAAAGGGTGTGTTGGAGGGAAAACATAAAATAAAATTTTAAACTACTTGCCCAGAAATACTCATTTTATTTTATATTGTTTAAAGGGTGAATCATCTGGCTCTTCATATGCTTTATAGTGTTTGGGGCCTATGAAAGAAAACTTGTTGGACATTTGGTATTTCTGTGTCCTACTGAAATCTTTTGAAAAACTTTTTTTTTTAAATTTATTGGTTTGAGAGAGAGAGAAGGGGGGGAGAGAGAGAAGCATCAGTTTGTTCCACTTATTTATGCGCTCATTGGTTGATTCTTGTATATGCCCTGACTAGAGATCGAACCTGCAAGCTGGCGTATTGGGACGACACTCTAACCAACTGAGCCACCCAGCCAGGGCTGAACACTTTCTAAATGTTGGTAGTTTTCCACATTATGAACCCCAGGTCTGCAAACTGGAAGCTACAAATGTCACCGTCCCAGTCTCTCCTGCATCCCAGACACTGAGCAAGTGCCCTAGATTCTGTCATTAACGCACTCATGGAAACCTTTGACTCAAGCATCACGAGGAAGAAGGTGTTGTACAGAGTCTGGTTGAGAGTCATGGAGTTCTTCATGGCATCAGAGGTGAAGGTTGGTGCTAGTGTCTGAGGTCATTGTTCCCAGAGGCACTGTGGATAGCCTCACAGTGGCTTTGGGTACTACTCCAAGGAGCACTAGCTTCTGAGAATTGTACTTTTCTGTTAAACCTAGCTAGAGTGAGTTGGTTCATTTGTTTGTAACTGAAAGCCCTGATATAATCATTTAGGAGTCCACAATTATGATGATTTTTAATATTTTGTAAACCTAATTAATACTTGTAATTCCTGAAGGCAGAGGCTAGCCAGTGGTGGCACATCTATTAGATACATAGAAATTACACTTAGTTGCATGTGTTCTTTCTCCCCCTTTCTATCCATGTACAGGCTCACACCACTGCATTTCCACAATTAAATTAATGAACGCACAAACTAAAAGTATATACAAAATGTTAAAAATCATCATAATTGTGAGTTCCTGAATGGTTATATCAGGGCTTTCAGTTACAAACAACAGAGGGATATGAGAAAGAGTGTCAGCAACTAGTCCAATTATAGACCAGCCATGTGATCTTGACTTTCTTCTAGCTTCCTCCTCTGAAAATGGCAGGGTTGTGCTAATAATAATAATAATAATAATAATAATAA